ATCAAAATAAACACAGGGAAGCAACAACACGAGCTATTGATCTACAACATAATTTGCAAAATACTACCAGGACTAAGTTCATGATAAATTTAAGTTCAATTTAATGATATTACTTAAGAACTCCCACTTAGATAGACATCCCTCTAATCCTCTAAGTGATCACGTGATCCAAATCAACTAAACCATGTTCGATCATCACGTGAGATGGAGTAGTTTCATTGGTGAACATCACTATGTTGATCATATCTACTATATGATTCACGCTCGACCTTTCGGTCTCCGTGTTCCGAGGCCATATCTGTATATGCTTGGCTCGTCAAGTATAACCTGAGTATTCCGCGTGTGCAACTGTTTTGCACCCGTTGTATTTGAACGTAGAGCCTATCACACCCGATCATCACGTGGTGTCTCAGCACGAAGAACTTTCGCAACGGTGCATACTCAGGGAGAACACTTCTTGATAATTAGTGAGAGATCATCTTAAAATGCTACCGTCAAACTAAGCAAAATAAGATGTATAAAAGATAAACATCATATGCAATCAAAATATGTGACATGATATGGCCATCATCATCTTGCGCCTTTGATCTCCATCTCCAAAGTACTGTCATGATCTCTATCGTCACCGGCATGACATCATGATCTCCATCATCTTGATCTATATCAATGTGTCGTCACACGGTCGTCTCGCCAACTATTGCTCTTGCAACTATTGCTATCGCATAGCGATAAAGTAAAGCAATTATTTGGCGCTTGCATCTTATGCAATAAAGAGACAACCATAAGGCTTTTGCCAGTTGCCGATAACTTTAACAAAACATGATCATCTCATACAACAACTTATATCTCATCACGTTTTGACCATATCACATCACAACATGCCCTGCAAAAACAAGTTAGACGTCCTCTACTTTGTTGTTGCAAGTTTTACGTGGCTGCTACGGGCTTAAGCAAGAACCAATCTTACCTACGCATCAAAAACCACAATGATAGTTTGTCAAGTTGGTGCTGTTTTAACCTTCGCAAGGACCGGGCGTAGCCACACTCGGTTCAACTAAAGTTGGAGAAACTGTCACCCGCAAGCCACCTATGTGCAAAGCACGTCGGGAGAACTGGTCTCGCGTAAGCATACGCGTAATGTCGGTCCGGGCCGCTTCATCCAACAATACCACCGAACCAAAGTATGACATGCTGGTAAGCAGTATGACTTATATCGCACAAAACTCACTTGTGTTCTACTCGTGCATATAACATCAACATATAAAACCTAGGCTCTGATACCACTGTTGGGTTTCGTAGTAATTTCAAAAAAATTCCTATGCACACGCAAGATCATGTGATGCATAGCAACGAGAGGGGAGAGTGTTGTCTACGTACCCACGCAGACCGACTGCGGAAGCGTTGACACAACATAGAGGAAGTAGTCGTATGTCTTCACGAACCAACCGATCAAGCACCGAAACTACGGCACCTCCGAGTTCGAGCACACGTTCAGCTTGATGATGATCCCCGGACTCCGATCCAGCAAAGTGTCGGGGAAGAGTTCCGTCAGCACGACGGCGTGGTGATGATCTTGATGTACTACTGCAGCAGGGCTTCGCCTAAACTCCGCTACAGTATTATCGAGGAATATGGTGGCTGGGGGCACCGCACACGGCTAAGGAATAGATCACGTGGATCAACTTGTGTGTTTCTGGGGTGCCTCTGCCTCAGTATATAAAGGAGCCAAGGGGGAGGGGGCCGCCGGCCAGGAGGAGGGCGCAGGAGGAGTCCTACTCCTACCGGGAGTAGGACTCCCCCCCCAATCCTAGTTGGACTAGGATTCCCCGAGGGGGAAAGAGAGAGAGGGGGGCCGGCCACCTCTCCTAGTCCTAATAGGACTAGGGGAGGGGGGAGGCGCGCGGCCACCTTGGGCTGCCCCTTTCTCCTTTCCACTAAAGCCCATTAAGGTTCCTTGGTGCAACTCACATGGGACACATATTACAACCAAAAGGTTCCTTGTGCACCCAACCCTATTGGATCTCCATGGTGGCGTGACATACTCAAGCTATCTTCGATATACCGTGGAATTTCAAAGGTCATCGTGGTATCTGGCAGGAAGACGCTCTTTTGGAAAGATCTTTGGCTTGATGACATAGATGCGGCAAAACATCCACGAGCCTTCTCCTTTGTTGAACATGAAGATGATTCGGTTGAGAGTTTCTTGGGGTGCATGACACTGTAGGATGCATTCCATCTCCCGCTATCGCCTTCGGCCTATGAAGAAGTGCAAAACCTTAAGATCACCATGGTATGCACGCAACCCATAACTGTGGACCATGATGTGTGGTTTTACTCCTGGGGCGCCACCGACTTCAACGCCAGCAAATACTACCAATTTGTCTTTATGGGGGCTCGCGCACACCAAGCATTCACTTGGCTTTGGAAATCTAAAGGCACCATGAAACCGAAAGTCTTTGGATGGATGATCTTGCATGATAGGCTCACCACAAAGTAACATGCTCAAATGCATCACTACAACATTGGGGAGGATGACGGTGACTGCCTCCTGTATGACCTACACGCGCGAAGGGTGAAGGCAGATTCTTTGAACTTAAAATAAGGGCGAAGGATACATACAATATGTCGGGTCTAAAGTGAAGTAGTACAGACACAGGAAATCAGAGAAAAATTTAGAGAGTCTCCATAATCTAGACTTCTCGGTTTCTTAATCGGTTCGGAAAAAACCATCAATCATATGATCTTCACCTGCCCCTTTAGCAAGAAGTGTTGGGACACCCTAAACATAACTTGGCCGCCCTCTACTTGCCGTCTACGAATGATTGATCGTGCCAAAAGAGAGTGGCATAAGCCCTTATTCATAGAAATTTTCTTGGCGGTAGATTGGAGCATTTGGAAAGAAAGAAAGAAACAACAAAATTTTTAGAAGGATCCCACCAAGTGAGGCCTCTTGGAGACAAAGATTCAAGACAAATCTTCTGTTGCTATCTCATAGAGCTAAAGAGGCCTCTTTGTAAATTTGTTTTAATTTTTTTCCTTCTGGGAGCTTTTTCTTGACATTAGCTGCTACTCCCAGAATCCTCAGGGCTGGTTGTGGGGCCTTGTACATAAAAATATAATTGTAAACACTCTCTATTGTTTAATTCAATTACACAGTAGGAGCCTCTCCTACTGTTTCAATGTAAGAAAACTAATGGCAATACTACAAAATGTCATAATTTCTTAAAAGGTTTCACCTTAGAACACACGTGTGCATCATCAGCACATCAGTACCAACACTAGCATAAAACATGCCTTGCAAAGGTGGAGGATCATGAGGCAACACGATAGAAAAGCAAAACTACTCCTCATCTGGTTCAACAACAATGAAACCGAGGAAGAGGAAATTCCCTGCAAGTCCATGGTGGAGCATGGAGATCATCCTATCTCCAATATCCATGTTGTATACGTCGACTAACTTTCTCCACCCATTAAGGACTATGCTTCCATCATCTGCTCCTGAAGCCGAGTATGAAGTTGAATTGATATTTACTCTAGGATTGAGAATAATGCTTTGTTCATTATTTGCACTCATCTCCTTAAGCCGAGTATGAAGATTTGCCACGACATAAGTCTAGGGTCAATTAAATCCCTCCTAAACGAAATATTTGGCAAGGATGAACTGAGCACTTGCGCAATAGTATTAATCTTATCGCGAACAATGATGCACATGACTGGATATTGTTCTCGGAAACTAGCATTCTTAGCCAGATGTCCTCCCAGAAATGAATCTCCAACCGTCCTTTTATCGCGAAGGATCCAAAGCTGAAAAAATGTTTCTTTGTCGCCATTAGGCCAACCGGAAGTGCAAGTTGTCAGGTTTCCAATAGGCATGAGACGCATCCTTGTGGCCTAAATACTTACTGCACATCATGGTTTGCCAAACACTATCCTCAATGAGAAGTTTGAACAATCATTTACTAAGCAGGGCATTATTCTTGACCTAATTGGTCTTCTTTGTCAGGAAGTTTTCTTAAAGCCCATCTCTGCCAGCGAGTATTCTGGAGCAACTCTCCCAATTAAGACCAAATGATTCACTTGCCCTTCGCCATGGACATTATCATCTTGATATCTTGGGCCATTTGGAATCCTCGCGAACAGTTCATCTCCAAAGGAGTTACGCCCAACCTGGTTTACACCAGAGGAACTCATATGTTGCTCTGTCAGAATGGGTCCGATCTTTCACACGATCTTTGCAACTAGAGCTCTTCGTTGTTGTCGAAAATTTCCTCTCAAGAGGTGACTAGGCAGCCTTAGCACATTTTGTTTTTGTGTGTGCGGTTATTTAGCTCATAGTTTTAGACCATAGCTCCTTGTTTTACCTTTTGTACATAACAATTTGAAAAATTATAAAAAATACTCTATTGGAAGAAATTCCTACGAGTTCGGTCAGAAAAAATTGAACCATTCGTGTCTAGTGAGCAACTTAAATGCGGTGCAAGCATCCATCAAAGAAGGCATTTTTAGCCCAAGCAATGAGCTTTCACTGATAATTCTTCTCTCACACAAGTGCAACCAGATACGTGTCTGATTAACTGATTAACAATGTCTTACAAACCGTGCCACTTGCATGAAGTTCACAAGCTGGACTCGGTAAATTACTACTACCTCAACGAGTGTCCCCATGTCATAGCTACTTCCATGACCAATCCCTTTGAAAAACTCAACCTTTAGAGTTTTGACCTTCATTCACTGGTTGGTCACTTCTCTCACTTGTTTCTTTTTTAGAACACCACTTGTCTCCCTTGTGCTTGCATCTCCATGGTGTTGACCCAACCAATTTTAGGTCGTTGGTTGAGGACGTCTTCTCGGGCAGGGGCAGTTGTAGCACGACGGCGACGGCCGGGCAGCCTTCCCTGATTCCTCATCGGTGAGAACAGCATCAGTTCGAGCTGCTTGGCTTTGCTCCTCTTCCCATTTTGTCTCCCTTCCCATTTTTGTCTCCGCTCCAGTACCACGCCATGCAACCGCCCCCGGAGCCCACCGGCGACGCGCTCGCGGAGTGCTTCCGCCTGTTGGATGAGCTCCCAGCCGCGGCAGCTTTGTCTCCGGCGTTCCGCCGCCACTGGCCGTCCATCTCCGCCTCCGTCTCGTCGCTCTCTTCCTCCCTCTCGCAGCCCGCCTTCCCGTCCTCCGCGCCGCTCCTCGCGCCCCTCGCGTCCGCGCTCTCGGCTCTCATGTCCGTCTGCAGTGGCCCTCCCCTCGGCCACCTCCACACCGTCTCGCTCCTCTCCTCCTCCGCCGCCTCGCTCTCCCAGCTCGCAGCCGACGCGCGCCTGCTCGTCTCCCCGGCCGAAGGCGATGGGTCTGAGTCCGACGGCCTGCTCTCTCGCCTCCGGCTTGGCTCGTCCGTTTCCCGAGCCGCGGCGCTCGACTCGCTCGCCGAATCTGTCCGGTCGTCCCAGCCGGGGTCGTGCTCTTCCACTGCTGTGTCTGCGGTCGCCGCGATGCTCGACTCCGGCGATCTCCTTCCGGCCACCCGCGACAAGGCCGTGTCCGTGCTGGCCGCGTTCGCGTCCTCCGAGGCCACTTGCAGGTTCTTGGCCAAGGAGTCGGGCACCGTCGTGCCCCACCTCTGCCGCGCGCTGGAGTCCGGCGGCGCCAGCACCGAGCAGGCGTGCGTCGCGCTGGAGCCGCTGACCGCCTCGTCGCGGGACGCGGCGGCGACTGTGTCGGCTCGTGGAGGCGTGGGCGCGCTCCTCGTGGCCTGCGCCTCCGGCACCCCGGCGTCGCAGGCCGCTGCCGCGGGCGTGCTCCGGAACATCGCCGCGTTCCCGGACCTGCTGCCCGCGTTCCGCGATGAGGGCGCGATCCCCTTGCTCGTGCAGCTCGTCTCGCTCGGCACCCCGCGGGCGCAGGAGCACGCGCTCGGCTGCCTCCGGAACCTAACGGCCAGCGACGGCGACGAGGGCCAGAGCCTCAAGGTCGAGGCGTTCCACGCAGGCGCCCTCGGCTGCGTCAAGGACTTCCTGGATTCGTGCCGCGGCGAGGAGCCGGGCCTCGCGCCGGCGTTCGGGCTGCTCCGCAACATGGCCTCCTTCCGCGTCATCGCCGAGATAGCCGTGTCCGCCACCTTCCTCAGCCATGTGGTGGCCGCGCTGGGCAGCGACAGCACCAACACCCGCACGGAGGCCGCCATGGCGCTGGCCGAGCTCTGCAACGTCGGCAGCGGCAAGTCGAGGGAGGAGGTCGGGGAGGCGATGCCGAGGCTGGTGTGGATGCTGGAGGCGAAGGCCGTGGCCGAGAGGGACGCGGCCGCGAGGGCGCTGGCCACGCTGGTCGCCGCGAGCGGCAGCTACCGGGCGCTGTTCCGGAAGGAGGAGATGGGCATCGTGAAGGTGGTCCGGCTGCTGGACCCGGCCGTCCGGGGCGGCGACAAGCGGTTCCCAGTGGCGGTGCTGCTGGGCGTGTCGCAGTCCCGGCGGTGCCGGAAGCAGATGGTGGCCGCCGGCGCGTGCGGGTTCGTGCAGGCGCTGCTGGCCGCCGAGGTGGACGGCGCCAAGAAGCTCTCCGAGTGCCTCGGCAGGGGCAGGATGCTCGGCGTGTTCCCCCGGACATGACATGACGGCGATCCATCCGACCTGCGACTTGGATCATCCATCTTGCCTTGTACAGCATGTGCCACGGATTCAGCTCAGTCCAGGCATGCTTTTTCTCTGTAGGAATCTCTGTATATTGCTGTTTTTCATACGAGTGGTAGCGTAGATTTAGATGACGATGATGAGTGTTTTCCTTTAGTCAGTGTGCGTGAACCCAATAAGAAGACGGGAAAGATTGTAATTAATCTCTGATGTGAAGAAATCAATCTGCATCCACAGTCGAACCAATCGTGTCTGTCTGACGAACAAAAGATGTTGAGAATATGGCCTGCTTCGGCTCACTGTCATTGTGTGTCTAGGTGCTACCGCATCAAACTGAAATGTATTAATGCCGGCAACTGCGACGTCTCGAGTTAATTAAGCTCGTCTTGTTGGAGGTCAGTCAGCTCGGCAGTAGGTTGTTTTCCGTGGTTATGAGCTGGTTGCTAGGGAGGCAGCAGGCACTTTCTCTGAAAGGAAATGCCACAGGTTGGCAACGATCTCCAAAGAGGGGAATACCCACTCTCTCCCTCAGGGCTCAGGCTACTCTTTCCAGATTGTTCTTCCTTTTTTGGTGTGCAAAGTCGCATTCATGAACCGGCATAAATGGCGTGGGCATCGCATCGCGGCGTCAGATTCAGATTTGGGTGGGTGTAGCATTGCATCTGAAGAACCCTCCATGCATTTTCTTTCTCTTGCAACGACTAACCATGCAAGGATCTGCATTGTTATCCGTAACCCTGGTCGACCTCCGTGCTGGTCAACTGTTGATAATCATGTACTCAAGGGTGCATGATGCGTCACGTGGCCACTGACGGACCTGCAGGTACAAATGTACTACTTCCTTCGTCCCATAATATAAGAACGTTTTTGACACGAGTATAGTACAGTGTTACAAATGTTTTTATATTTTGAGACAGAGGGAGTAGAATGACAGAGGGCGGGAACAGCGGCATGGCGTGGCATGTTCTCCCTGACCTGGCGTGCAGAATGATGCCCTGAACCTTCCCTGAGATGAGATCTCTGTAGATTAGTCCATCATGTGACCCCCCTCATGCTATTGCTTGCCCATCCACATGGCCAATCAAACGATCAATCAGTCGATGCCGAGGTATCTATCACCCCCTTTCTCCATCACGGCGCGGATCGTCCCTGATTAGAGCATCTCCAGCCATTCGGCGCCCCTGAGACCGAAATAGCGCTTTCTGAGGGCTAGCCGGCGCTTTTTTCGCCACGGAGGCGGTCGGGTTCCCAACTGCCGCTTCAAGCTTACCCACATGGCGCTTTTTGAAAACCAAACTTCGTAGAAAATGATACAAATTTGAAAGAAATTCATGCATTTTCATTGATATGTGTACAAACTTAAAACATAACTTAAAAATAAACTAAAAACTCTAAGCCTTCTACATGCCGAGGAGCCTGTAGAAGTTGGTATAGTCGCCGCCGTCGTCGTCTTGCACGTCGCCGCCGTCCTTGCTGCAGCCCTGCCCTAGGTCACCGTGGCGGACGGGGTTGGACGGCCCGGGCGTCTCCTCGTCGCTATCGTCAAGGATGACGACGCCGAGCGGCGATATCCTCGAGGGCACGCCGCCTTCATCACGCCGCCCGTAAATCAATGGAAGGCTGACTGGCGGCGGCAACCTTCATATTGATTCCCGCAGGAAACCGAGGCGACGAGAACGACAAAGATTCTAGGCGTCGCACAGTCGCTGACTCGGCGGGTCCACCACGTTTCGCGCCAAATTCATTTTGCCCGGCGCCCCCTTTGCGCCCCAAGTGCGTCGGTTCTGCCTGGGTCCGCAATCAAACCTGCAGCAAATAAAAATTGCATACAGTATTCGGGGAGGTGCCGCCATTGTGCATCACTTCCGTGCAATCTGCTCCAACCATAATTCTTTCTGCTGCAACCAAGGGTTACCTGCCTGCCAGAATATGCCTTTGCAGCTGCAGCCGTTCAAAGACAATCTTGCTCCAACCATACAGTATTCGGGGATGTTTTCAGCATCAGATACTGGCTATGCCTTTGCAGCTGCAGCCGTTCAAAGACTAGAGCACCAGCGAAGCGCGAATATACAGAGCTACACATCGATCTCGCTGAATTTAGATGAAGATGGTGAGTGTTTTTAGTCAGTGTGCGTAAAACCAATAAGGACACGGAAAAGATTGTAGTTAATCTCTGACGTGAAGAAATCAATCTTCATTCACCGTCGAACCGGTCGTTTTGCGTCTGCCTGACGAACAAAAGATGTTCAGAGTATAGCCTGCTACTGATTACGGTCATTGTCTAGGTCCTATCGCATCAAGCCATCAAATGAAATGTATTAAAGCCGGCAACTGCGACATTACATATCAATATATGGATCCTATATAATGATTGTGGCTAAGATCATCTTGTTGGAGGTCAGTCAGGTCGGCACTGGATTGGTTGTTTTCCTTAGTTATGGTCTGCTGATTTCAGGGGAGGCAGGCTTGCAGGGGGCACTTTCTCTGAAAGGAAAGGTTACAGGTTGGCAATAATAATTCTCAAAGAGAGGAATAGATCCGTGCACGGTTCTTCAGTGGGAGTACCCACTCCCTCCCTCATGTTACCCTTACCTTTTCTGATTGTTCTTCCTCTTTTGTTGTACTGTATAACAAACAAAAACAGTTTGGCGCCGCATTCATGAACCGAAATAGATGGCTTGGGCATCGCATCGCCGTGTCAGATTCAGATTTGGGTGCAGCATCTGACGAACCCTGCATGCATTTTTCTTTGGTAGCGGGTTTTAACCATGCATGAGTAATGCTGTTGGTAATCACACAATATTGCTTCTAGTAAGAGCATCTCCAACACGCGCGCTAAACAGGTGCCGCACCGTAAATATATCCACTTTAGCGTGCGCGCAACCCGGCGGATGGCTCTAGCGGGCGCGCAATAACCGCGCGCGTGGTATAACCAGTTGGGCGCGCGGCAGGAAGCGATACCTTGCGCGGTGTATTTGCGGCGCACGCTTCCGCGCGCGGCATACTCGACGCTCGCGTTGCGCTCTTCTTCTCCCCCTCCAAAGCCCTGCGCGCGCCGGCGCCGGCGACCCGCACCCATGG